AATGGGATCTTTTCCTTTGTTTTTTAATATTAGTGTTCAGCCCCAAAATCATATGTAAATTTGTAAATCATTGCTATGATTTTCGTGATTTATCAGGAAGGGAACTCACTGTAAGCATTGTTTTGTTTGTTTTGCTATGTTTTACCTTCCTTTCTGGTGATTTATAACTAACTCTTTCTTGTTGTTTTATTGAGGTGAATATAATTTGCTTCCTGCACCACGATCAACTTAAAGCAGTTTTCCATGTCTCTCAGAAATTAAGGAAGGCAGTAAGTTGTACACTCGCTGCATCCCCCATTTTTGTTATGCATGCGAATAGAGATAAGGATGTCTAATTCTTATTTGATTGTAATAGGTTATTATTGCAAGGCAGTCACATTTTAATTACACTACACCTGATCGCACTCGGCAAGAGATGTTGAAGTTAATGACTCCACGCCCCATTGATCACTGGCCTTTCATGAGGTAAGCATTTTGACTCTCATGATGTAAACTTCTTACATCCAATACCCTAATATGCTGCAAGGCTACTTGCAGCAAAAGACATGGAAAGTGTAGGTTGATTTCGAGCCCACACACCCCCAAGGCACCAAAGCACGGTCCCCGCCCTCCCCGTGTCATGAAGATTACTGAGATGCGGCAAATTGCAGCTGTTCTCTTCCAGGACTCCTCTTTTCCTTCAACATGCTTGGTGCCTTCAGTTTTACCAAAGCCTCTCTGCAGATCGTTGGCTTCTAATAGAGTCCTATTTTCTGAGGATGAACTGTGCCAGGCTGTTGCTCAAAACAAACTGCTTTGATTTCTATTGTGGTTTCTATAATGTGAATAGTAAGAAGTTTATCTCTTTTGTTTTTAGGGCAGTTTTAGAATTTTCGAACTAAAGGATTGCAGTAGGGTTAGAAGAATTTAGTTTTTTATGGTAATAATGTATAAAGGCTTGTTTCTTGTATAGTTCTATGCTCTACCTGGTACTCTATTCCTATCTGCTAATCTCATTTTGAGTTGGCATTGAAGAATGAGGGAGTTTTGGTTGTCTTTCCCTCTTGGATTGATCTTAATTATAGTCTACCGGCTTGTTCGTATAGTTTGAAGTTTTTAATTAGTTTGAGC